CACACACACACACACACACACACACACACACACACGTTTTCCCTGTCAAGCTAAATGAAGCTTTCTTTTAAAAGCAATATGCAGCCCCACAGATGTGGAAGCCATTCCTCTTGCTCTCTCTTGCTTTCTCACACACTCACACACACACACACACACACACACACACACACACACACACACACACACACACACACACACACACACAGAAAAACATTCACTCGAATAAACACAAAAACCCACAGTCTCTTGGGGTGCGGTCTCCCCTGCAACCCCGGTGCAGTGTGGGTAGCTGTCGTAAAAGAGGTCCTGTGAGAGAGCGTCCAAAAATAGCCTGAGTAAAAATGCAGGACCAGAAAGCTCACCCAGTGTCTCTCAGAGAAATCCAGTCATCTGTGTGTCTGTGGATGTGTTTAAGTTTTGTTCATTCATACAATAACACTTATTGATGCTGATAAAAATACACACAAACACAAACACAAACACACTCTGCATCTGTCAGAGGTGCTGCTTCGTTGGGTCACAGAAATCAGAGTAAAGGAAAGGCTGAGTGTCCTGCATCGTACATTATGAACTCTTTTGGCTGAAATAATTTCTTAAATCTTGTGAAATTCATTGTTTAGTCTGACTGTGTTTAACTGACTGTTTTTGGCTGCTTCTTCGGGGTTTTTGCCTCCGTTCAGGGCGCTGCGAACAAGCTGAGAACGCAATACTGATTTATTAGATGTGTTTTTATTGATCTCCCTCAGGAGCACAAAGACTGGTAGAATGAGCCCCGTATGTTTTTGAGGAAGTGAGAAATGTGATCAAATATGAGCGTTTTTAAGGCTTATTGATTTTCACAGGTTCACAGCAGGCAGCTACTTTCACTGTGGAAACAGAGTGTTACACCCTGAGCATGCTGCCTGCCCAGCAAGTCAAACAAAGTTACACTAGACAGGAAATAAAGCGTTTGAGCTGTTGGTGCCGTGTTTTCTATTCCTCGAGTATTTTGATGGAACCCAAAAACTCTTTTTTTTATCTATTGCTAAATACTGAGAAGTAGTTCAGTTTGCAGCTACTTGAATTTTCCTGCAGGAGTTCAGCCCAGCAAATCCAAACAGAGAAATAGTTTTGTGATCCTACAGACGTGAACCTGAACTCAGTCCATGCATACATGCAGACTGCAGCATACGCACCCTGACCACAGCCTGATCCTCTGTGCTGCTCAGCAAACAAGAGACGAGGGTTCATGAAATATAAGTGAGCGCTTCCAGTCCCGTTATTATCACAGCTTTCACCTCTCGCTGACAGAAAGACAAAACAGAGACAAAACAAGGTCAGAGAAGAGTGACGTGGACGGTCTACTATCGATCGGCTAATGTTCCGTTTCTCTTTCTGACTTAACTGAAAACACGTGACATTTGAGGCAAGATTACATTTATTTTCAATGAATAATGAAAGGGATGAAAGCTGTGCAGTCTAAAGTCTGAATGAGACCATTATAGAAGCCGCAGACCTTTTCCAGAAGCTTTGAAATTCAAATGCATCTAAAAACGAAAGTTTTTGATGCACGACACTCACGTTTGATCAGTTTAGCTACACTGTGTCAGAGTGAAAGCATCACTCACACAAACATTCAACATTCAACGACCTCGACCAGTCGCACGTACACATTTGTAATTGTGTGTGTGTCATTTAATAGTCCGACAGAGTCTCTGGAGAGGCCTTGACGTACTTTGTGGTCTTTTTCACAGACGATGGAGCAGGAGGGGTCAGGAAGGCGTCCGCGTCCCAAACACGCAGCTTTAACAGCCGATAGATTCTGATTTAAAGCCGTCATTTCCAATGAACTCGTGCTGCTCCACCCCAGGGCCAAAGCACGATCCGTGCACGCCCAGTATTTTTGTCGTGAGGAGCAGTTAACAAATCTTTGTGTGATTCAGAAAGAACTGATGTACTTTTAATGACTCACTGCCATCTGCCTTAACAGCTGAGCTGTAACTGTGATTACATGAGAGGATTTTGAACAACACCATCAGCGCTGCAGATACTTAACCAAAGTCACAGCACATATTGGTTGCTATTTAAAATGTGGACATTAACGTGGTTCGCTCTCGCGCTGTCCTTGCAGGTCTATTTAAAGGCCCCTATGATCCTGAACGGCGTGTGTGTGATCTGGAAAGGCTGGATCGACCTACAAAGGCTGGATGGGATGGGATATCTGGAATACGATGATGAAAGGGCACAGGTATCACCAGCTCTACTTTTTACTCAAATGTCTTTTCCTCGTCAGGAAACCAACTACGATCTTTCTTTGTTGTCGTTTGTGCTCGCAGCACGAGGACGCGCTGGCTCAGGCCGCGTTCGAAGAGGCTCGACGCAGGACGAGAGACTTTGAGGACAGAGAGCGATCGCACAGAGAGGATCTAGAGGTGAGAGACGAGGGATCGCCGACTATTTATCTTGAAATCTTTCTCAGTCTTGCAAAGCCGGTCCCAAATGACTCTGTTGTGGTGAACAAAACAAAAAAACCTCTCTGCAGTAGTTTCACTCATGCTGGCCTCTCAGTGATGCTACAGCAGCAGTGCAGTGAACACAAACTGCAGCTCTGGAGGTCGCAACAAAGCTTGACGTGTAAATATTTTTTACGGTGCATTTTAGTGTGAAAAAGAGAATTAAAAGGCAAAAAGGCTCTTTTTTATGTTACAGACTGGCTTTGCAGGACTGCACAGAGCAAACAGCATCACCAGCACAGCTTGCTTGTAGTGCACTTTCTTGTTTGCAACTCTGAAAATAAATCGGCTCCCTGAAAATGATTTTGATCCTCTGCTGAATTTTCTCACAGAGTCTTTCAGACGCTGAAAGTAGAAAAGCATCAAAGTGCATTAAAAGTAGAAAAGTATTAAGAGTGTAATATATATCTGCAGCATCAAATTTGTAGCATCGCTTTCCTTGCTTAGTGCTTGGGGTTGTGTGATGTGTGCTTGTGTTCTGTAGTTTGTTTTTAATTATTCTTTTTCTTTAAAGATTATTTGTGTAGTTTGAACCGTAGGTTTAGTGCATGATCAGTTTGGCGGTAATCCTAATCTGATAATTGATCTGACTTGATATTCATGAACTATTGAATGACTACAGTTTTGTCAGGTTTCCCAAAAGCCTCAGAAGGGAAAGTAGTTTGCTCATTTTGTGCATTTCTTTGAGAAGTTTAATTGATGCAAACTTGGCAAAACAAGGTGATGTGTTCATTTTAGCAGTTCAAATGTGACCTTTGACCTGCACGTAGACGGTATAAACTGTAGGTTTGAAATTTGAAAGTGTCCCAAATGCATTTCATTGCTTGAGACAAACTCACTTTCCCAGCAAGGCTTTGGGGAGATCAGTGGCATCCTTCCCAAGTTGACGCCCTCCGAATGAACCCAAATTGTTTATTTTTTAGGACCCTGTGGTTTCTAAAATCTGGGACTGATGACACACAGACAGCCAGCAGAAAAGAACAGGGTCTGTGTCCTTCATTTCTCACCATCTATCACACTGTCATGCACTAAACCACCTCGTGTGTGTGTGTGCATGTGTGTGTGTGTCCACAGTTTCATTTGTGTATTCTTGTTTTTGTCCATTAATGTCTGTGTGTGTCTCTCAGCACCTGCAGCATTTTCTATGTTTTTATTTCCACACCGTACGTGTGTGTGTGTGTGTGTGTGTTCATGTGCATGCTCTGCAATGAATTTTATTCCTATAATTTTACTGTGTTTGTTTGAATGGTGTGAGAGACTCGGTGAGCACATGATGTTTCAGAGCTAGTTTGCAGAGACTCGCAGCCGGCTCAGCTTTGTGCTCCTGCAGAAATGAAAGAAAAGAGGCTGAACGTCATCGTGTGAAACAGAAAGAAAGATTTGATCCAGGTTTTATGTGACTGAGCTCGTGGCTTCCCCGAGGCTGCGGCAGAAAAAGGAAACCTTGTGTCGCTCCCTAAATCAGTAGAAGCACCATCACAAGCTTCTTTAACACGATGTATAAACGCGCTGGTTTCCATATTTAAAATGTTTTGGACACGTCGGCCATCAGAGGATGGAAACGGCTCCACTGTACAGTAAAGTGATCGCACGTGAAGGTCATGTTACTAAAACACACGTTTGAGATGCACATGAGTACATTGTTGCTATTATTATCAATATATATTAATCATAACGTATAAAGCTTAGCTTCATACATATGGAGATCAAAACAATATAAATCAATAATAAAATGATAATAGCTCATGGCTATCTAAAAGCCCCACAGATGATTTTACATTTCAATTCTTGTTTCCAAAAGAATCTTTGTAGAGTTGCTATGAACAGCAGCCACAGCGCTGTGAGCTTTGTGTTGTTTTCTCTGGGTGTGCCTGACGAGTGTTGCTGAATAGCTGCACAGATTCAGCCTCTGCATTTCTGTGGTCTGAACTCCACCTCTCCATCTGTCTCTCTGTCTCTGTAACTCTCTGTGTCTCGTTAGCTGGTGATCGAGTTATCTCGCTGTCCTGTCTGAGCTTCAAAGGCAAAGTTAATTTCTTCTTCTCTCAGGCAGAAGAGAAAGAAAAAAACGAGCTGAGGCAAAATTCTTGTTTCTTTCCTTTTTTCAAAATAGAAATTGGAGTGAAATGTGATTGTTTCACCTGTACTGCAAAACACACACGATGATAAGAAGATTGGGCAGATTAGTAGGTTAAGAAAATTATGCTCCAACTTTCGGTTGAGAAGTTTTCAAACAGATCAGCAGCAAAACGTTGATGTCTTTTTTCTCCTGTGAATGCTGATTGAATATAAAAGACCAGTCGTTTTGGCAGACACCACATTTTTCATCCAAACGCAGCGATATTCCAGTTACTCAAGGTCAAAGGGTGCCTGTCACAATGATGGATGTATAAGCAATACATGCAATACTGCATGCATACACACACGTGGTTTGTTTAGCTATCCCTGTGAGTACATTCATATAAATAATGCATCGGCTCGCCCTTTGCTGCTCCTGCACAAATAATATTATTTTAAACCTGCACCGTCCAAACACTCAGCGCTGACCAGGGTTTTAATAGTTTTGCAATTTTCATTAGTTTTTATTTTTATTTAGTTTTGACTTCAGATTTTCAATTTTATATCAGTTTTAATTAGTTTT